CCAAATAAAACTTTCGGATTTATTAACAACCCCAAAAGAGTTGGAAAAAAAAATGCTAAAGCAATATAATAAGAGCCATGTGATAACTATTTAAGAAGAATTTACATGGTTTAAATAGTTTATAACTATTTGCAGACCCGTTATGTAAGGGGAAGATAATTTATCAGGATTTACTGTTTTTAAAATTTTTCAGCATCCAGTCAGGATGGACTTTTTTTATGTTTAATGTTGGATGTTTGGTCATTATTATTGTTTTTCCTCTTTTTTGTAAACATTTTTTCTTTTTGTTGTTGTTACTGTTGGATGTATGTTTTTTTCTGGTTTTTTTTTCTGTTTTGTATTTTATTCCCATTGATAAAACATAATAAATATCTATTTTTTAAAAAATGAATGCCCTATACAAATACTTATAGGAATTACCTGCCCATTGATAAAACATAATAAATATCTATTTTAAAAAAATGAATGCCCTATACAAATACTTATAGGAATTACCTGTACATAGCAGTACTAACCATTTCATTTGACATAATCAGGTCTGATCCTGCTTAGTGTTTTGTTTTTTTTTCAAGCCTGATCGAGGACAGCTAGATACTGTTCCTTGCAGTGGTAATTCTAAACTGCTCCCCAGCCTGTCTTAACTTCTGGTTTTTGTTCCCAGGGCTAAGATTTGTCTTGTCGAACTGTGACAAGTCAGTTGTCATCAGAGATTTCCTTGCCTTACTCTTTGGCTTTCATGCTCCTTTCCCCCTGAATCCTTGCCCAAATAACAGAAGAACAGAGTTCTAGTCCAAACTCTTGCTCAGGCAGGAAACCCAATACCATTTCAGACAAAAGGTTGTCCAAACTCTTCTTAAAAACTTTCAGTGCTGCAGCATTCACAACTTCTGGAGACAAGTTGTTCCACTTGTTAATTGTTCTAACTGTCAGGAAATGTCTCCTTAGTTCTAGCTTGCTTCTCTCCTTGATTAGTTTCCATCCATTGTTTCTTGTCCTGCCTTCTGGTGCTTTGGAGAATAGCTTGACTCCCTCTTCTTTGGGGCAGCCCCTGAGATATTGGAACACTGCTATCAGGTCATCCCTAGTCCTTCTTTTCATTAAACTAGACACACCCAACTCCAGCAACTGTTCTTTACATATTTTAGCCTCCAGTCCCCTAATCATCCTTGTCCCTCTTCTCTGCACTCTTTCTAGAGTCTCAACATCTTTCCTGCAAGCAATGTGAACTTTGCTTCCTGCTCTCTTGGCCAAAATGCCTTAGTCACAAGAGCATTTGTGCTAGGAAAAGATACAGAACGTAATCCAACAGCTGCACAGGCTCTCGGCCAGAAAAAGCTCAGCGTTGCTCCGTGTCCAAATCTTGGCTGAATAAGGGGTGGAGGGGCTCCCAGGAAGTTAGGGAAGGAAGGGAGATGATCCCGGCTCTCAAAGTGAATTCTAGTCCAATTATGGTTTCTAAGGATAGAATCGCACAACGTGCTTAACATGCTTATCTCATCAGCACATTCTCTGAGTTTATCCAGCCCTTTGAATCACAAACGGAGTGGGCTGGCGTCACACCACCCCCAAAAAAAACCCAAGGCTGAAAAGCCAACTTAGCAGGTGGTGGATGCAAATGGAACGGCTTGGTTTGTAAGCAACCTGGTTATAAACATGTTGTGTGAAGAAGCAAACTGTATTTGGTTCCATGTCTGTGAATTAAAGACATACCATGAAGAAGAGCCATGGTGGCACAGTGGTTACGAGTGCAGTACTGCAGTCTACCTCTGCTGCCTGCTGGCTGTTGGAGCAATACACTGACTTTGTAAACCACTTAGAAAGGGCTGTGAAGCACTGTAAAGTAGTATATAAATCTAAGTGCTATTGCTATACTTGTTTCATTCCTTGAATTATTTTGAGCTAGTCTAGTAGAAACCTTTATGGAGTTTTTTTTTTTGAACTCCAGCACATAAGATTGTCTGATTATTTGGTTCATCAGTAGATGGATTATCCCCTGAATCCAAGATCTTAGTGAAGTTGCATCCAGTTTTGGTCGCCATGATATATTTTAAAAAAACGTTGAGACTCTAGAAAGAGTGCAGAGAAGAGCAACAAAAATGATTAGGTGACTGGAGACTAAAATATACGTCGAGTTTAATGAAAAGTAGGACCAGGGGTGTCATGCTAGCAGTGTATCAATGTCTAAGGGGCTGCCACAAGGAAGAGGGGAGGGGTCGACCTATTTTCCAAAGTACCAGAAGACAAGAAAGGAAGCAATGAATGGAAAGTAATCAAAGAGAGAATCAACCTAGAACTAAAGAGAAATTTCCTGACAGTTACTACAATTAACTGGTGGAACGACTTGTCTCCAGAAGTTGTGGATTCTCTAACACTGGAGGTTTTTTTAAGAAGAGACGGGATAAACATTTGCCTGAAATGGTATAGGATCTCCTGCTTGAATTGGGGGGGTTGGGTTGGATTAGAAGACTGCAAAGTCCCTTCCAACTCTTGTTATTCTGTTAAGTTGGGTAGCTTTAGCAGAAGACCAGTTGGTGCAGAGAGAACAGCATTTTCGGGCATTATTAAGCTCATAAAAGAATAACACAACTCCAAATGATTAGTTGTTGCTGGAAAACCATCTTCCAAGAAATCATCTTTTGTAGCAAGCTGAAAAGGTTTCTGGGTATGGTCTGGGAATTGTAGTAGACCCGGCCCAATTGCACGCGCGTAGCAGACCTGAAAACCAGGAAAACAGAAGTTGTTGAGTCTGACGCAACCTGGGCTCCCAACCTGCGTTTCACTGTCTGCAACACTGAGAAAAGGATTTGGTTGTGGTTGTGTTTTGATCTCTTTCCCGCTCGGTAGAACCGAGGCATACTCCCTCGTATGCTTGCTGAGTTTATGCGTGACACCTGCCTTTGGAAATTTGGCCTTATATGGAGAGATGAGTGAAACGGCAAAGCATATTATAAGATTCATTCCTTCTGTTGAAATCTGTCAAATCCGTAGAGCGATACCTCCCTCTATGGGCCTTATGCAGCGCCTCCTGGTCTCTTCCCAATTTTTTTACCTACCGCCTCCCCTGCCTCTCTTTGAAAAGACAAGTGGTTTTATTTTTATTTTATTTTATCTGTTGAAAGAATTATCCTTCTGGGTTCAGTTCCAAGTGGGGGAAAAGACACTGGAAACGTGGAGGCTGTTTGGAAAGATGGTTTAATGGTGGACAGGACCATCTGGCTTGGAGCTCCAAAGTGAAAAGAACGATCACACGCTTCAAGATGTTGTGTGGAAGAAAAGAAGGCGCAAGATGCGAGTGCAATTGTTTTATACCCTCTGTTGGGCCCCACCTTAGTATTTCCTATTCCTATGTAAGAAATGTATCCCGTTGGCTGTCAGACTCCCAGGGGCAGGGGTCTTAGCTAAGTTTGGGGGCTTTGTCTGGACCACAGGGCTTCACCTGAGTGCTGGCTGATGCAATCTTACTGTCAGCGTTCCAGGGAACCTCCATTCCAATCAGTAACTCCGAGACAAGCATAATCTCAAAAGTACCTTTATTAGAATAGAACCTGGCACATCTGTGGAATTTCGAAACTAAAAGTTTCCCGGACTTCCCACAATGTCCCAAACTACAAACTATCCCCTTTTCTCTCATCATCACATCACATGAACCAATCCCAAAGTAAATTCCTTTTTACCTGCGCCACACTCGTTGACCTTGAACTAACAAAAGAATTCTATTTTGTCTACTTAGAACTACTCAATAAAAATCACCACCTTCCCACTTTCTCAAGCTATGTGGCAGCGATGAATAAGAATTCCAAAGCTGACACTGACCAGGCCAGGTGGTGAGGTGGGTAGAGGTCTTTGTTAGGCAGAATACTCTGGCCCAGGCCTTAATGGCCCGCCTATTAACAAAGGTGGGGGTTGAGCCTCTGCTTCTGAGTTTCTACTTCTCTTTTTAGGGGAAATATTCTGCCTTTTTAATGTTTCCTAGGATATTTCATTTTTTTAGGAGAGGGATGGGTGCTAACTTCCTACATATCAAACCTGCAAGCTCATTAACTCTAAAGAAAGAAGAGCCGATCAGGAATTTTAGGATAATGTCTTTCCCAGCATTCCCTTGCAAATCCCAACAATTTTAGTGACTTTCCATTTTTCCTCTTAAAGCCTGGTCTAGAATGCAGGGCTGCAATTGTGCGTCTTTAACCAAGAAAGTTGGTTTGCTTGGTGCTCAGGGCTTTGCAAGGAACTCAGTACAGGGAGTCCTCAACTTACGACCACAATGGAACCCAAAATTTCCATGGCTAAGTGAGACATTTGTTAGGTGAATTTTGCCCCATTTTATGACCTTTCTTGCCACCATTGTTCAGTGAATCCCTGCGGTTATTAAATTAGTAACACGGTTGTTAAGTGAATCTGACTTCCCCGTTGACCTTGCTTGCCGGAAGGATGCAAAAGGGGATGGATCACGTGACCCCAGGATGCTGCAACCATCATAGATATGAATCAGTTGTCAAGCATCCGAATGTAAATCGTGTGACTGTGGGGATGCTGCTAGCATTCCAAAGTGTTAAAAATGGCCATAAGTCACATTTTTTGTGCTGTTGTAACTTTGAATGGTCGCTAAATGAATTATTGTAATGAAGGGTCCTTAGCTTGCTTGTTTCCTTGCAGACATTTCATTACCCAAACTAGGTAATATCATCAGTGCTAGAAGGGAATGAAGTGTGCAGAGAGGAGGAGGAAGAGGAGGAGGAGGAAGAGGAGGAGGACAACTATGGCCTCCTTGGTGCTCTCTGAGCTTGCTTGTTTCCTTGCAGACATTTCATGACCCAAACTAGGTATTGTAGCACTAATGCTGTTGCCTACTTCGGGTAATGAAACGTCTGCAAGAAAACAACCAAGTTCGGACACCAACCAAGAATCCCTCACTTCAACCCTGAGTACAAATATTCTCCTTTATTGGAACTGCTGTAAGTTGATGACTATCTGTATAGGTAGATTAGAAAGTCTCACTGGACACTTCCAACAGGTGTGTTCTTCTCTCTCTCTCTCTCTCTCTTAGCCATGTCTCCATGCAAGATCATGAAGTGCAACTCCGAATTTTTAGCCGCAACTTCAGGGACGCAGCCCCCAGCCGCTGAGGATGCTCCTGAGTTCTGCACTGCCTTGCGCGCCTATGCCCTCTGCACCCACCACACGGCTCGCACCTGCCGGGGAGACCTCTTCTACCACTCTGCAGTCCACGGCATTGATGATCTCATGACCCAACACAACTGCTCCAAAGATGGGCCCACCTCCCAGCCTCGCCTCCCGCCGCTGTCCCGGGGCGACAGCCAGGAGCGCTCAGACAGCCCCGAGAGCTGCCATTACGAACGTAGCTTCCACAAACACTCCTTGCGCCCCAACTACACCCACTGTGGGCTGTTTGGAGACCCCCACCTGCGGACATTTTCGGACAGCTTCCAGACATGCAAAATCCAAGGGGCCTGGCCGCTCATTGACAACAACTACCTGAATGTGCAAGTCACCAATACTCCTGTCTTGCCTGGTTCCCTGGCAACGGCCACCACCAAGGTAGGAATGTCCCCATAGTCTAGCATGGCTTGGGGAATCTGCCCTCTTGTGGACATTTTGGGAAAGCTTATTTTGTTTGACTTCTCACCAAAATTGAGTTGGCTTGTTCTGGAGGCCTCCACATCATCTTTCTGTGATCCAAGGAAGTCCAACACTTGCTTGTTTGGGGGATTTAAGAAAAATTGCAGAGGCCCAGAATTCTCATTTCACTCTTTAGGCCTCCCTGAAATATTTAAACAAGAGCAATTTTCCCTACTTTGGAGGGATTCTAGAACCAAAAGGGGTTGCTCTTTAAAGGTATCCAACATTTCTAAACAAATGGAAAAAAATTGGCCTCCCACAGTTCAATGGCATCATAAAATCATTGATCACATCCCTAAGCTAAGATTAAAAATATGTTAGGACAACTGGCAGAAGAAAGAAATTGAGTGTTCAGGCCTGGTACAACAAACATGGGTGGGTTATGAACAGATCTAGATCGTCTTGACAATGTCAGTAACCTTTTGCCTTTCATTCCCACCAGCTCACTATCATTTTCAAGAGCTTCCAGGAGTGTGTGGATCAAAAAGTGTACCAGGCAGAGATGGATGAACTCCCAGCAGCCTTTGCTGATGGCTCGAAGAATGGTGGTGACAAGCATGGTGCCAACAGTCTGAAGATCACAGAGAAGGTCTCTGGCCAACACATTGAGATCCAGGCCAAGTACATTGGCACCACCATCGTAGTGAGGCAAGTCGGTCGCTACCTCACTTTTGCCGTCCGGATGCCAGAGGAGGTCGTGAAACCTGTGGAGGATGGAGACAACCAGGGCCTCTATCTTTGCCTCCGGGGTTGTCCATTTAACCAGCAGCTAGATTTCCATGCCTTCCCTCCCACCCCAAAGGCTACTGAAAACCGCCCTCACCGGAAAGGCTCAAATCCATCTTCTTCACCGGAGGTGTTTACCTATGAATTGGCCACAGCCAAATGCAAAGAGAAGCTTCCAGTTGAGGATTTGTACTTCCAGTCCTGTGTCTTTGATCTCTTGACAACCGGCGACGTCAACTTCACACTTGCTGCTTATTATGCTTTTGAAGACGTCAAGATGCTCCACTCCAACAAAGACAAGCTTCACCTGTTTGAAAGGACACGAGACTTGGAGTCAGGTGGTATGGCCACCTCCGAGCTTTCCATGGCTCTATTTCTTTCGCTCTTGGCATTTCTCTGCTTGAATCAAAGTCCATCCCTTTTCTTGTAGACTGGTCTAGACCCACTTGGTTGAGCTGGGAAACCAAGGAACGCTGTTATGGTTTGGGGCAGGTGTGAAACTGAAGCAAATGGGGATTGTGTTGACCCAGGTACGTCTAGAAAACACGACTTTGGATCTTCCTGTCAACATCTTCCTGTCAACAAAATCTTCCTCCATGTGGAAGGGTTGTCAGAGGTCCCATCAGCCATGTTTCTTCTTCCTCCAGTTGCTACAGATGATGGAGAGCTCTTCCTTCTCACTTTTCTTGAATGCCTTTTTTCACTGGCGACGGCATTTGTATAATAGTGTTTGGAGAGGCAACCGGAACTGTTGCTCCTGGACTGGGCATATAGTGCTTGGAGATTACAGAAGACCGTTCAAAGACTCTCTAAGTGGGCCAGACATAGGCGAGTCCCATGACCTTGGGGCCTGCTTTTGCATCCTACTCATGAAAACTGGGCTCGCGTAGTTGCATCCTTGTGCATGGGAGCCTGCTGTTGCACACCTCTCTCCAGTTTGGCTTGGGCAGCTGCTGGCAGCTGCTGTTGGTTGGTTGAGTGGGTGCCGTGGAACTAACCTGCAAGGTTTTGATTGTCCCTTTGCCTCCTCTGGGCAGACGCCACCCCTACAAACTCATTTCCTTCCTCGCTCACTCTATTTTGGTCTCCTTCATAGAAAATGGCTTCCTTTCACCTTGGCAGAGGATGAACCGGGGAGGAGTGGGTGGGATGACCTGGTTTCATGGGCAATGTGAGCCGATTGTGTTTCTTTCCAACTCTTGGGCGTGGATCGAGAATCACAAAGCTTCTCCTGTTTTCAAACTCGTTGTCCACTCCTGTTCTGGTACTTAGGAAAATAAGCTAGGGAACTAGGCCAGTATAACTCCAGTCTGTGTCGCTCTAGGTGCAAATCTTCTGGATTACATAATCCTCAAGTCTTTCATTTTTGGAAAACAAACCATGCCAATCCATAGGAGAGCTGGAACATCTTTTTCAGTGGTGCTGGTTTTCAGACCGCAGTTGCACATTCTTCTCCAATGACTTGTCCCTTCCTGCTTCTGCAGAGGGCATGATGAGTTGCTCCGGTCACTCCCCCTGCTGAGAAGGCTACCTGCTGAGTTGGTGGCATTACTCTACCAATCAGGTCTTGTATTATAGAACAGAATTCTTTATTGGCCGAGTGTGATTGAACACACAAGGAATTTGTCTCTGGTGCAAAAGCTCGTATTGCATAAAAAACAAGTATTGGGTCATAGGTCATAATCATAAATCAATTATCGTCAGGAAGCTCACACCAAATTGACTGGCAATTTATAAAAAAAAATTGGGCTGCGCATTTCCCACAAGGTGGGTAGGCCTCATAAACAATGCCATTGTTTTATTCGAGGGATGAAGGTGGAGGTGGAAGGTCTGCCTCAGTATTCTGGAAATACCGTTTTACAAAATGCAGCTTCTTTAGGTCCGTGTTTTTCTTTGGCAACACCTGAGCTAAGGAATCTCTGAATCATTATGTTGGGTTTAGGTCAAGGTGCCAGATGAGAAGTCTCCCATCCTAAAACTGATCCCTGTCTATTTTGAATACACCATAGTGGGTGTATTCCCATTCTTGGGGACATATTGGGTGGGTGTGTTTGCTGTGTATATTGACAACATGCAAGTTTTAGGGAAACCTTTGAAAGTGAGCTCAATCTGCTCCCAAATTGTGAACCGTATCTGTCCATCACACCAGCAGAAGGACATCCAGATAGATATACACAAAGCCTTGTTTTCACATGCTTCTTGGAGAAATCAGTGACTTGTTTCTACCAAGAACATTCCAAGTTCATTGGGCCAATGTTCATTGTCTGACTGCCATTTTCATCCCAGTTTCACCGTGGGCAATACCCATTCAGCAAAGAAACACAAGGGTGTAGCCACTGGATGCAGGTGTTTGCTTGTTATGATACATAGAGTGTTGTGTTGGTTCAGTGTGAGTGAGCAAAGAGATGGGATTCCCCTGCTTCCTTCCTAAAATATTAAAAGGAATACTTTTATTACTTCTCTTCATGATTGGTTCATCAGTGGACATGAATGTCTTCTCCATTGCTTTGTGTCAGTTTGAGGAAACCAAATTGGGGCCACTTAGAGAGGGTCCTAGGGGAGACCGGGTGCTCTCTTGCCACATTTTCAGATGTCTAGAAAGTCCAGGTGGATGTCTCTCTCTGCCCACATTTTGCCCCAAAGTACCAGGAGCAAAGAATGCTGTGATCTTACTTAAATGGTAGGTCAGAATGTCGTGTGAATGGTTCATCCCACAGGACAGGTAGTCCTTGACCTACGACCACAATGAAGCCCAAAATTTCTTTTGCTAAGGGAGACATCTTTTAAGTGAGCTTTGCCCCATTTTATGGCCTTTCTTGCCACCGTTGTTAAGTGAATCACTCCAGTTGATAAGTTCTTAACCTGCTTGTTAAGGGAACCTGGCTTCCCCTTTGACTTTGCTGGTCAGGAGGTTGCAAAAGGGGATCCCACAACCTTGGGGCTCAGTTGCCGAGCCGCTGAGTGTTGATCACAGGATCATGAGGAGGCTTCAAAGGTTGTAACTGAAAAATGGTCGTAAGTCACTTTTTTCAGTGCCGTTGTAACTTTGAACAGTCACTAAATGAACTTTTGTAAGTTGAGGACTTCCTGTATTGTCTCCACCAAGATGCTTACAATCCTCCACCTTCTAAAGTTGCAACTGCAATTGCTCTGAGAGTGATTGCAAACTTGTAGTCTAGATGGACCATCTCCAACTTTTGTGTAGGTGTTCACAACAAGCTAGAAGGACACCACAAACATCACTATATAATTGCACCCATAATGAAATCACAACACAGGTGACATTCTGTGCAAACAGATTATTCCTACCGTGGCCTTTTTGATTTTACGGTGGATATCCCAATATATTTGGAGAAGAAAGATAGGAAATCTGACTCGGTACTAGTTCAATAGGTGTCCCAGGTTGGCTGCCATAGTTTTCATTTCATTACAGAGCCTGGTGGCACTGAGAGAGAGGGGGTGAATATTCTCCACACAGTGCTTGGTTGCCAGGATTTATCACCATTGACCCTATTTAGGTGGCATTTCAGGCAAGTTGGCTTGGAGTAAAAATCCTAGATGGTAGGTAGATCCCAGGGATGAGTGACTGTGAAGAGTGAAGATCAGCTTGCCTTCATAATTCATGCATCGTTGCATAAACCGATAGCACCCATTTCCATTCAGTTCTGAAACACAATCCATTAACACAAAGGTCACCCAGCTTTTCCAAATGTCCATCATTTATTTCTTGAAGCTTCTTCCAAGCTGTGACAGAAGAAATGCAGTGTGATTTTTTAAAAATCTTTTTTGCCAAAGTAGCATTTAGGGAACCGGATAAACCGTATATGAAATTGCTAAACCATATTGCTAACTACAACTATAACTCCCCTGCCAATGATGTCACTACAGGAGGAGGGGGACTTTAATCCAAGTTGACTGGCTATTATCAAAATGGCATTTCATTTTAGCATTTCATAAATCAAAATTCTTGAAAAGAGTAAAATTTAACAAATTGGGAAGTTTTTCTTAACCAATTGTCATCTTCCATTTCCCTCAACTTATTTCTCTGATTACAGTGAGCTCTAAAACCATTTCCCAGGTGTTGGAATATTGTTTTTTAACCCTCTAGTTATTAACAAAGCACTTTATTTTGTATTATCTCCAGTCATATTTTGGCTTCTGAGTGAATTCAGCCTATGAAGACCCAAGAGGCTCTGAATGAAAATCTGAATAAAAACAGGGAAAGCGTTTAACAAATACACTGCCTCCCTCTCCAGCTTATTGCATGTGTGTGGAAATTGTATGGGGTGTTGTGATGTAAATATTGTAAATTATTTATTGAATTAAAAAATGCAAATAAATTTCTTTTTCTTCCCAATAACACAGTCCTGAATTTCTGTTGATGCAATCTTTAGGATGAAAAAAAATGGTATGAACCAGATCACATTTGATGTGTTTGTTGAATTGGCTAGTTCCCTGTAAAACCCAGCTCACCTTGCTGCCAAAATAATTACCAACTTCAGAAAACTGAAGATCACTAAAAAAAAATTAAAAAGTGTGTCATCAGCTTTCACTTAGAATAGATTTGTTATGGGGAAGGTACCTAGGTTATATATAACTTTTGGCCTAATTTCAAATTCCTGCGCTGAGATCTTTTTCAAACTGCTGGGATACTTTTCAGAGAAGAGATCAATTTGATGTCAGAAGCAAAAAGAAAAAAAATAAGTCCAGGAAATGTCAAGCAATATAAAAAAAGGAGGTGAAGAAGAAGAAGAAATGACTGAGGAAGATTTTGTCTTCACTATCTAGAATCAGGCTTTTAAACTGAAGTAAAAAAATTCTTCAATATTTTCAACACAATTTCAAACAAAAAAACCATCAGTTAAATCCATGGTCACCAACCGGTGGGCCAGAGACTACTGGTGGTCCACGAGAAAATTTTGGTGATCCGCAGAGAAATGTCACCCCCAAACCACAAACGTCCAAAGCAAGGGCAGGGAAATGTGCCCCGGGGTGGCATTCTGATGTTGATGGGAAAGTCGGTCCCATATTCCAGTAGCTGCAGGAGTCACAGGACTGGCCCTTTGGTCATCCCGGAGCAGCTCCTCCAGTCCATGGCAGGCCGGTGCACCTGGGTGGAGGAGCAGCTACACCAGGATGACCAAAGGGCCAGTCCGGTGACTACTGTAGCTCTGGAATATGGGTCCAACTTTCCCACCAATGTCAGCAAGCCACTGTCAGTCAAAATTCATATTAGTGGTCCGTGGGATTTAAAATTATGAGTTTGGTGGTCCCTGACATCCAAAAGGATAACAACTATTGGGAAAAACAAAAGAGACGGAAATTCCAATTTTTGAAAAACTCAACTTTCAATGTATAACAATCCAAATTACAGGAGCTTAACCATAGAAAAAATTTAATGCATACTTTATAAACCACATATTTACATCAGAAATCACTTCGACAGTGACAAATTCCTTTGTCACAAATATACATTAATATTAGTTAATCCATGACTATGCATCAAATTCCAGAATTCAAGTTGGCATTATAGATAAAAAGGAAGAAACAGGTGGTAGATCTGACCTTGTTCTCCACAGATCCCTTGGTGAAGGGAAGACCACTCCCAATGTTCAGCCAGCATATTGATGGGAGGCAAATTTGGGGTTAAAATTCAGGTGGATTCAGTTCTTTTGACCCCCTTCCAATTCTTACAGTCCAAAGCTCTGCAGTATTGTATTCAGGCTTTCTGCTTCCAGCATTGATGGCCCTGTAACTGGTGTTTCCTTGGGCTGGACTAGCTCTTTCCGCTGGCCTCTGCTTCTGGGCCTCTAGGTTTTCCAGCCACTCCACTTGCTCTTTTGCTCTGAGGGCCTATCCAGAGATGAGTGATGCTGGATGGAAGACTTGACACCAAGTGGAGATTTCTGTGTAGCTGGAGAGCGAGGGTCAGGGACCTGGGAGTGAGGAGGGGAAAGGAGTTGCTTGTAATCAGCCAATTTGGCTTGGTGGAAAGGCCTGTAATGGTCGGATGGCCCTTGCCCATGATAACTCAAGGGAGGTCGATAATCAGATATCCTCCGATAATCTTGTTGGTAATTCTGGGGCCGGAATTGATCCAACCTTCGCCTCTTGGCCTCATGACAGCTCCTAGAGGGGAAAGAAGAACACAAAACTCCCAACTCAACAGAAGAGGCACAGATGACCCTATCTAGATCTTGGGATGCTTAAGTCCCTCTGTTGGCAAAGGCATGGAAGACAGTGGTGGGATTCAAATAATTTAACATCCGGTCTCTGCCCTAATGATTTCTTCCAACCACAGTTCACCAAACTGCTCAGAAACTTAACAACGAGTTTTCCCGAAGAGGTGCAAACTGACTGAATCCCACCACTGATGGAAGAGAATGCCATCCCAGGAATGCCATCCCAGTTCAGCAGTACCTAGGGGAAGGAAAAAAGGTGGACAACAGCAGGGTTGGAGCCCAAGCCTACACGCTTTGCACTCTGTGTCATGATATCACATACGCTTACAAAAAGGGCCAGACCACACAATGCAAATCTAGAACGCAGTTGAGGGGTGCAGAGATACCTCCGGTGAAGGAATGCGAGATTGCTAAGAAAAAATGAACAGCAACTCTGTCCCGGAGAAAAAGAGGCTGGGAGAAATCATAGGGTTGGAAGGGACCTTGGAGGTCTTCTAGTCCAACCCCTGGTCAAGGAGAAGCCTTGCGATCTCCGTTCCATGATGTGGTTGACAAACACCTATCTCTTCTGAAACACTTCCATTGTTTGGAACATTTACAACTTCTGGAGGAGGCATGGCTTTTGCCATGCTGACTCCTGCAAAAGCCCCATGGCCTAGCCGAATGGCCTTCTTAGCACCTCACCTGTAGTCCGGTTGTCCGTGGTAACTGCGTTCTGTGTTGAATTGATCGTAGGGGCGTTTATAGGAGAGGTTGATGGGCTGCTGGTTCCCTGAGCATCCTGGGCGCGGATATTCTTCTCTGAGTGCCTGACGAGGCGCATAGTGATGATCCCTCTGCCAGTGCAGCTCGTATGGACGGTACCGGTATCTGCCCCAATTTCCATAGGCATTCCCTCTGTCATGAAATTGGGGGTCCTGTTGCCATTCACTCCGTCCTGCATGACAAGGGAGGGGAAGAAGCCCAAGTGAACTTTGTTATCTGTATTCGAACCTAGCTTTGCTTACACTCTAACCACTTGGCTCCAGTAAAAGCACACCTTTTACTAACTGCAACTCGACTGCAAATGGAGACGAGAGTCTTTCCTTCCTAAATGCCCAAGCTGGGACAGGCCTGGTAATCTCTCACCTGGGTGGCTGAAAAGCCTTCTCTTTGGCTGGTGATGGTTCTCTCGTGGATCATGTCCATGGACCTGGGAAGGTTGGGGGGAGGGCTGCTGCAGATGTTTTGCATGGAGGTTATGGGGAACAGGAGCCATCAGAATATCTGGACTGGTCCCAGGAGCTTCTGGGCGAAGCCGCTTGCCCCTCCTTGCCTCTTCCTTCTTCTTCTGTTCCTGCTGAGCAGAAAGACAACATCGTCGGAGGACTCAAAAGGCCCACAGTAACAATGATTAGGACCTTATTAACCAGGGTCTGGGGAGGAGGGAGGTCGCTGGAGAATATTGGAGGGCCTCTTCTAGAGGAAAGGATTAAGCAAGCAAACAGAAAGAAAAGGTGTTAGGAATAACCATAGTTACCTAACTTTGTTTGGGTAAATAATATATAAACCATGATAGCAAAGTTTAAATGTGTTTTTCACTTTAAACTCTAAATGATATAATTTGGGTGCAGTTGAGAAACTGCCATAAGAGGGAGCTAGAGAACCTGGATTTCTACTGGATTGATGGTTGATTGTTCTGCGTGTTCCCTGTTGCTGACGTCGAAGGAGGAAAAAGTTTTGAATGCTGCATATCTAATCCACTGTGAGAAGATATTTACTGGACTGATTTATGGATTGACATTGTAAGTTAACTGATTTATTTTGACACTGGATTTTTGCAATTGAACAATCTCCGGACTGAACTGACTGAACACTAGTGAATGATATTTGGACTGTTTGACCCTGCTAAACTCTTAATGGAATAAACTATTCAACTAAGACAGTATATCCGTTTTTACTGAGTGTGAAAACTAAAAAACGCTTTCTCTCATATTCGCCTGACTGCCTGACTGCTGTGCACATTCTGCTAGGGTATATCCCTAACAAAAGGGAAAGCCTTAAGGCTTTCCACCCCCCACCTCTTCATTTGAGACCAAAGATGACTCCATCCTCAAGGTTGGATGAAGAAGAAAAAGGAAAAGGAAAAGGAAAAGAAAGAGCACAGTCCCACCTAAAAGTCTCAACCAGAATTCCTCTAGCTCCTGGGCTTTTCTTCTGCACAAGATGTTCCCTTTCTTTCCTTCTCTTAACTTATATTTGTATCCCTTCCTTTCTACCTCACAACACAAACACACACACACACACACACACCTCTGTTCTTACCTCCTGTTCCTGGGCTCTTTTTTTGCTAGCCATCTTGTATAACTTATGCAATTTACTGGTGTTAAATTCGATGAAGTTGGAGACATAGACCCATAGATTCCTGAAAGGAGGTGAACAGATAATTTTAATTTTCTCTTTTAGGAACTGGGCCAAAAGCCTGAACTTTTCATGCCAGAGGAAAGAGATGCCCCAAACAAGAAGTGATGGAAACTGAAAAAGACTCCTGACCAGAGGTGCTATTCAGCAGGTTCTAACCAGTTCTGGAGAACCCGTAGCAGAAAGTTTGAGTAGTTTGGAGAACCAGCAAATACCGCCTCTGACTGGCCCTGCCCCCATCTCTTCCCTGCCTCCCTTTGAGTCCCAGCTGATTGGCTGGGTCTTCTTTGGTTGCCCTGCACAGGGGAACGGAGCTGGAAAGCAGGTTAGTGGGGTGGGGAGGGAATGGGATTTTGCAGTATCCTTCTCCTGCCATGCCCACCAAGCCACGCCCACCAAGCTACACCATGCCCACCAAGCCACGCCCACAGAACCGGTAGTAAAAAAAAATGAATCCCACCACTGCTCCTGACCCCCAGGTCTGACTGCAAAGTAAGGAAGGAAGAGAGAGAGAGAGAGAGAGAGATTTTGAAGATTTGGTGGGCAAGATAATCACCTTCTCCATATGTCAAGAACATCTGGTTCACTGTGGATTTTCAAACAATGCACAATGTGATCTCCTATACTGAGGAGGCAACTCCGAGTTTTCTCCAGCAGTTCTTGGTCTGAAAGTCCTCTTTCTGGCTTGTCCAGCTGCTTCAGTGATTTTTTCACAGGCTTCATCAGCTTTTTGCACTAGGG